TAGGGTGGAGAAGAGGGGTTTAAATACACCACACATTGAAATACTAGATGTATTAATGGCTTTCTTCAATTACTGTAGAGATGATAACTCAGTTTCATAATAAAGTTAATCAATCTTAGAAATCAGTAATAGAAGCTTATAATATGAAAACCAAGAGAGGAATTGATTCTGTTATACTCTTGCTCTCTGAATGCTTCCAAAGTAATATATCTAATTCTGTTATTGTATATTAAAAGGGCCACTGAAAAATCTATAAGAAAGCAGATATCCTTTAATTTAGTTCATTCATTAATTTATTCAATCAATTCTATAGTTGCCTTTTAAGTTAAGATTTGTTTTTATCCCAATCTTTATTGTTGGGGTAATACATTCAGCAAATGAGCATCTATGACAATTGCCATCCAAAAGTGTTCAGTCCTAACAAACTCAGCCTCCCAGCTGTTAATATTTTTCTTTCTTATAAAAAAGACTAGTGGCCCAGTGCACGAATCCATACACATTGAAAAGAAATTAATTAGAAGAAATATTTTAATATTTCCATTTGCCCTTTCTCTATAATAGAAGTGTCAACCAAATTCATGATCGACAATGACAGATGGAAACACACGCGTGCAATTGGCACCAAGGAGAGCTTTCTATGTATCACACCTGGACTGAAGACCAAGTCATGATCATGAGAAGAGGAGCATTCATATGATTCCCTGGATTTTCCAGGGGAGTTCTATGCATCACAAGAGGCAGAGACTCTCAGTAGGTGGTCCTCTTGATTATCAAGGTTTCATAATTCTGGAAGTCCTAATTCTCTAGACCAAGATAAGAAATCATATCTAAAGCTCAGGTATTTGCCAAGTGAGACAGATGTTTCCACACACAAATAATAATATGGCTCAAGCATTTGTTTCGTCTGCACTTAATTGTTTCCTGGGAAAAAGTCAGCCATGATGAAGCACTCAGAAGTATTATGTGGTGGATAAAAGCCTGGGGTTTGAGTTGGGTTCACATGTTTCCAAGTGATAGCTGTAGAACACTGAGTTTAGATGTTAACTCAAAGTTCAGTTTCCTCACCTGCAAAATGGGGAGGAAAATGATAATGCCATAATCAGGGAGGTTATTGTGAGGATTAAATGAAAGACTATGTGTGAAAAGCTTAGGCTGGTGTTTGGTTCCTAGTCATCATCTGTAAAAAGTACCTTCACCCCGTTTGAGCCAAACATATATTTGGCGCCTGGCCCTTCTCCCTGCACCAGCATTTTAATTTCTGTGTTTTACTTACTAGCTCACTTGTGGCCTAAAGGAGACTTGGGAATATTGTAGGAGAAACTTTTTTTTTCCTTTCTTCATGGGTAACTTCAGTTCAGGACTCTACTATACTATTTTCTTGGTATAGATGAATTTATTACTCTGTCATAATCCTGGTGGTTAGGGAGGATTAACTCACCCATATTACTTTTACATCAGTTATGTATTAATTCAAATTTAACCAAGATTTGAAAAAGTCAATTCATGCCTTTGAGTGGTTGAAGTAATAGGCAGAATCTAGCCTATGATGTGTCCAGAAGAAGATACTGTGGTTTTGGCATGGTGTGGCTTTGGAGGAAGGAAAATAGTGGGGAAAAACCAAGTTGCATGGAATTCGACCTCCTGCTTGGAGTATGCAGACATTTTCTCATCTTTAGAATAACATATTCTTACCTTACTAATACGTCTGTCTAGAAAAGTGTTCACTTAAATTCAGATTGCAAGACTATCTCTTTAAATGCTAGAAGGGAATAATTGAAATTACATTTGTTGAGAAGACTATTTTTTTTCCATTGAATGGGCTTGGCCCTCTTTTTGGAAATTATTTGACTTTAGATATGTGTTTATTTCTGTGATCTCAAATCTATTTTATTGCTTAAATGTCTTTACTTATGTCTGTACCACACTGTCTCTTTTGTTCATTTCCCTCCAGCTTTATTGAGGCATAATTGACAAATAAAATTGTACATATTTAAAGTGTGGTGATTTTATATATGTATACTTTGTAGAATGATGACTACAGTCAGGTTAATTAACACATCCTTCACCTTATGTGGTTATGTGTGTGTTGATAACGCTTAAGATCTACTCTCTCCCAGTTTTATTACCATGCTATACTTTAGAACCCCAGAGTTTATTCATCTTATAAATGAAGGCTTGTACCTTTTGACCAACATCTCCCCATTTCCCCCATCCCCCAGCTCCTGGTAACCACCATTCTACTCTCTGTTTCCATGAGTTTAACTTTTCCACATATAAATGACATCATATAGTATTTGTCTTTCTCGGTCTGGCTTATTTCACTTAACATCACGTCCTATAGGTTCATCCATGTTGTTTCAAGTGGCGGGGTTTCCTTCTTTCTCTAGCTGAATAATATTCTTCTGTGTGTGTGTGGGTGACATCTTTTATCCATTCACCTGTTGATGGACACTTAGGGTATTTCTATATCTTGGCTTTTGTGAATAATGCTGAAATGAACACGGGTGCAGATATCTCTTTGGGAGACTGGTTTTATTTTATTTATCATTAAGCACTGGTCTTTTATTCCTAACCTGAGATACTGATTTTATTTCCTTCTTATATATACCCAGAAGTGTGATTGCTGGAACATATGGTAGTAATTTTAATTTTTTTTGCGGAACCTCCGTGCTGTTTTTCATAGTTGCTGTATCGATTTACATCACAGCAGCAGTGCACAGGGGCTCTCTTCTCTCCACGTCCTCGCCAATTTATATGAGTGAGTTACGTGTCTGGGCTTCTTGCAGAACCACCCAGCCTGGAGGATGCAGGGAAGATGCTGAATGAGAGCGTGGTGGTGAACAACCCTATACAGCTGGAGTGTAAGGCTGCAGGGAATCCCTTGCCTGGTATGTTTACTTGTGGACTCTATGACTTATTAACATTTTAAGATTTCTGGGAATAGTTACATCTGTTTGTGAGCATAATATAGTAATTACTAATAAAGAAAGGTTATAGATATATTTCAGGGTAGTATTTTCAAATTTTCACTACTTTAAATGAATAATTAATTGTCTTATTGTCCTTCCTGGGTCCATAAAACACATGCTGATATTTCATATATATTTATTTTGAAAAATATATTTTTATCCAGTCCATATTGGTTATCTTTTTTAAAAATATATATTTTTTATTGATTTCAGAGAGGAAGGGAGAGGGAGAGAGAGATAGAAACATCAATGATGAGAGAGAATCATTGATTGGCTGCCTCCTGCATGCCCCACAATGGGAACAAGCCCACAACCGGGGCATGTGCCTTGACCAAAATCGAACCTGGGACCCTTCACTCCACAGGCTGACACTCTATCCATTGAGCCAAACCAGCTAGGGCCATATTGGTTATCTTTACACATCAGTCATTTGAGGAGACTATTATTGTTTTCATTCTCATCACTAGTAAGTTATTCCTAGGAGTCAATAATAATACATATTTTGAGGCTATAGTGGATATATGTTTGGTTTTGATTAGATGTGAAGAGAGGAATATGTACAACAAAAAGAAATAGAACCAGTTAAAAATTTGCTCCCAAACAATATTGATGCATTAGAGACAAAATAATTTTTTTTTTTATAAATTCACTGTCAGGACTCTTATGCTGGCTTGGCTATTCATGTTCTTCTTACGGTTACTTCCTCATAAAAATCTCTCTAAAGCAAAATTTAAACAGATTAAGCTGAAATGATGAGCACAAGAATAAAGCAGTTGTTACTGTTTTAGGTAAACTCTAATTTAGTGCAGGTATCGAGCTTTTCAAAGAAACAAATTAAACAGATGGGCCTCTCCCCTCTTGCCCTTGCAGTTATTACCTGGTACAAAGATAACCGGCCGCTCGCAGGTTCCACCAGTGTGGCTTTCTTGAACAGAGGGCAGATCATTGAGATTGAAAGCGCCCAGATCGCGGATGCTGGCATATATAAATGCGTGGCCATCAACTCAGCTGGAGCCACAGAATTATATTACAGTCTTCAAGTCCATGGTGAGTGCTGCTTCCCCTGCATGCACCCTGGGGTAAAGAAACCTTCAAAATGACGAAGTCCTTCTATAAAATCTTAGTGTAAATATTTAACAGTGTTAGGATCCTCTTTATAGAAGAATACAGTGTTCTAAAACTGATAAGCGTTTTTATTTCCTGATTCCTATTCAAATGCTTTATTTTCATATGCTGTATCAAACTTAAGTTTGCTTTAGATGAATTGTTGAAATAGTTACCAACCCTCTTATCGGCAATGACAATAGCCCTGATTGTAAATACAGTACTGTCTATGAGAATCTTATTTTTAAACAAATGTTTCCAACTTATTATCTCTAATACTTTGAAGAGGAGTTGGTAGTTAACACACTAGAGTGGATATAGTGGAGAGACATCAACACACATACATGTATGCACCCATGCGCGCACACACAAGAGCCTGAAATCAAGAAAAAAAAATCCACTCTGGTATCAAAAGCTGGATTCCTACACAAAGTAACAAAACCTCATTCTCCTCATCTGTAAGTTGGCGAGACTGATCATTGCCCTACTTACCTCACAGGATAAATGTGATTAGAATCCCAAATAAGAAAAGTGAAAGAACTCTCTGCCCCCCTCCCCACCCCATATATATACATACCAAAATCCACCGTGTGAAAACACTACTATGGACATTATATGTAATTTTCATTACTTTGAGGTGAAATTTTCTGTGATGTCAACATAGCTTACTTACTTGCTTATTTCTTTTCAGTGCCCCCATCCATTTCTGGCAGCAGTAACGTGGTGGCAGTGGTGGTTAATAACCTGGTGAGGTTAGAATGTGAAGCCAGAGGCATCCCTGCCCCAAGTCTGACCTGGTTGAAAGATGGGAGCCCTGTCTCTGGCTTCGCTAATGGGATACAGGTACTCGCTGTCATTCCTTTGGTGAAATCTACTACCTAATTGTTCAGTACAGGAAGTACAAGCAGATAAAGCTGTTAAAGAGATTTGGAGAACAAGGATTCACAAAGGTTATCCAAAACCGCACACATACATTCATAACTACTATGGACACACACTTGGGATTTCTAAGAGTTCCCTTACAGCATATGCAGTGCTTTCTTTTAGATACTTGCTACCCACAACCTCCATTCCCTGCCACCTCCACGTGAGCTACCTTCCACAAAGAAATGTTCACCAACACCAATAAACAGGAATTTCCTTGTAGAATTTATACTTAAACGTATGGAAATAATAATGACTCAGAAAACCATATAGAGTATATTTACTTCTACAAAATTATCAAATAAAAACGTAAGACATCATAAAGGACACATTATAAGAAATGAAATTAGAGTCTGGAAAAAAAACAACAACTTGTTTTACACGGATTCAAAATTAAAAATACCAAAACACATATATCTCATTTAAAGTGTACTTTAATATTATTTTGTTTATCAGAAAACATAGTTCTCTCACCATTCTGCTTCTTTAGCTTTTCTTAAAATTCCAATGCTTGCAGAATTTGGGATCTTAAGAGATGTAGAGTTAAGGTCATTATATTGGAGGTGCAACTAGATCAATGGGATAAAAGAGCCATGAATGTGACAAATTAATTTATTTGGCTGCTACTTTGCTGTTAATTTTAACTTCTCACTTGTTCTCCCAAATTAAAATTAGGAGGAGGTTAGCTCCTCTTTTCCCGCTTCTATCCCTCCTTCCCCCCTGGTGGCTTTCTCTTCCTCTGTAGTAAATGTGGGTGAAATTGGACTTTCACTTGGTCCTATAGAGACAGACTTGTTTTCAGTGGTTATTACCACATTGGGTCCTGGCCTTCCAGTCTTCCTCCACAGAGAAGATGGATTAAGTGATGCTCGCACACTTTAAAACAGCCAAGTGGAAATCTTTCTAGAGACAGATGTCTATTGATTAATCTCAGAAAATAAGAGGAGTCTGTTTACACCTACTCTTCTCAGGGGGCATGTTGGTTATTTAGCTTTCTTATCTCTGATAGGTTCTGTCTGGGGGGCGCATCCTGGCTTTGACCAGTGCCCAAATCAGTGATACGGGGAGATACACCTGCGTGGCCGTGAATGCTGCTGGGGAGAAGCAAAGGGACATAGACCTCCGAGTATATGGTGAGACATTTCAACAATGATTTCTGCTCTGATATGGCTGTGTTTAATCCTAAAATCATTGAGGAAAGGAAAGGGAAGTTTTTGACAATAAAGAACTATGGACAATAGAAATGACATTATAGGATTAATCCAAATCAAATGCTCCCTTTCTACCTTATTTTTATCTTTAACTATCCCTTTTTAAAGGTCTGAGAAATTAAAGTGCGTACATTAATCATGTAAGGTGTGGGTTTTATGGAAGACAGCGCGAGGAGCATGACTACGGAGAGCAGCTTTATAATGGGAAAGATACAGTCTCCTCACTAAAGCAATCATTTGTTCAAGAAGCTCCTTTGATCCATTCTACTCAAAGCCTTGACTTTACTACCTTTTAATTATATTTACAATCAACATATACTTGCAATCAGCACTTGGCAGTCAATATTCTGTCTGTGAATTAAAGGCTATTTGAGATGCAAAAGTTAAACTAATCATACACTATTTGTTTCTTCTGTGGCTCCTCAAAGAATATCTATTTCATGCAGGCCTTCTCTGCTACATCCCACCTCACTTCCCAATAATTCACTCCTGTTCAAATATATTACTTAGCTTTAAATAAGTTATAATTTTTAATAAAAAGGCCACTTGTTGCAACATGCACACCATGCATACCTCATTAAGCTGAGAACTCCCCATTTGCATCAGTGGACTACCAAAGGGCTCTCTATGCATCTCTCCTGTTTCTTCTGCAGTTGACGTGGGTCTATGTGAAACCTCCAGCTTTGCTGGTGCTCTCTGTCTGAGGGAGCAGATGGGCCTGAAATACTCATCCCCACAGACTCCAACTCCTTCCCTTCAAGGGCCTCTTTTGTGCTTTATGGAGAACTGGAATGTGCCAACCTCAAATATCCTTAGTCATCAGTCAGTCAAAGCATGTGGCACAATAGCTCCTTCGGTCATCAGCACGCAGGCAGAGGGGTGACATTAGTATTTACCGGGTGTTAGTGAGCAATGGAAATTGGGATTGGCTCCTTCCATCTCTACAATGGTTAGTGTCAAAGTGGACCTGGGAGGTGATCGGGAGTTGATGTTCTCCAGGACTTCCAAAGATGTGCATCACTATTCTTTGTCATTGGCTAAGATGCTTCCACACCATCCTTTGAATCTGAAAACCCAGATCTTTCCTTTGTTGTAAGATTCAAATTTCCAGCTAAAATGAGCATATATTTGAGAATGCATATATGTGTTTAGCATCTGAAATATATGCATGGCAAACTACTGTAAAAATTAAAATGGGTTTTCAGTCTGAAATTAGTTTCCAATCTGTGTTCTACTATTAGTATTATTTCCGTACATTATATACTTATCTTTGTAACAGTAATATTGGCAATTCTGTGTCTAATTAGAGCCTAAAGAATGTGTATCCCCCAAAGGTAAATTCCTCTCAGATATACTTTGTAGAGTGTGGGGCTGGGGAGGAGTAG